GTTTGTAATAATAAACTGGGCTAGAATGAGTTCAAGAAGATCAAAACGAGGGACGGAACCACTTAGGGATGGAAAGAACCAGAAACACAGAGGAAGGTTGAAGGACAAAGGTGGTAAATTGCCAGGGAAAGGACCTAGGAGTAAAAATATTTTATTTTCCTTTTACTGCAATAATGCAGTCATAGAAAATAGCTACACACATTACTATTCCAAATAAAGCCAAGGAAATTAATTCCTTTGACTTCCAAGAAAATGGAAGAGGCCCTACATTTGATTTGTTGAATGCACAGAGGTCTCCGACTACTCATTTTTTCCTTAAAATACAAATATCCAGTAATTTTTAAAGTGTTCCTCTACGGAAATAATGTCATTTTACATTACAGACAAAAACTATTCAAAGACAAGGAGTCTTTTCTTAACACAACAGAACTGCTGAGACATAGGAATAAATCAAGCACAATGAGGCCAGACATCTCTTAGCAAAATTTGACCCATTTTAAGAAGAAGATGGTACAGAATAAAAGGTAAACTTCTAAAGCTGACTAAATTCAAATATTCTGGCTTTTGGAAAATTCAGACTTGGTTCTCCTTTTTGAATGTGCATATTACACAGCAAACAGGATAATGTGTAGAAATGTTGGACTAACATCAAGGGCTTGGATTATAAAAGAGCTGAGCAATTACTGTAACAGTAAACATCAGTGAGAAACATGACATTTAATTATAGGCTTTTAAAGTCTTGTCTTTGATCTTAATAACATTTATCTGGATATTTGGTATCCCTGACTGTCAGTGTCTCCGTGTGTTAAAATGTACCTTTTTCCTTACCAGCCCAGGCCTGGAATGTCACACAATACTTGAGGCTCAGCACCACCCACACAGAGGATTATGGTGAGCCACCCATGGTTTAAAGACACGGGCAGGAAATGAGTGGTGTGATCTGGCATCCCTGACATTTTAACATTGCTGCCTGTACTCATACCATTTTGCCTTATTGTCGTTCTCTTCATCAGCCCTTCATAATGCTTGATACAGTTAGAACACAGTTAGACAGCCTGGGAGCACAGTTCTGTATTAGAAGATGCATGGGAGCAAGTTTAAAATGCTCTTTCAAAGTGTCAGGCCGGTGACAATAGATATTTAGCTCGTCTGTTTCTTCACAGAATAATGAAAGCAGAAATGCTTCCCTGCGGTTGTAATAAGGAAACTTGGACTTCAAAGGGAATCTTCCTGAGATAGGAGAGTTCTTCTGAGAATTACAGTGACTGATGTCCAGTTATCTGTTTCTAGATATGTAGAGCCATTTGGGACTACCTGGTGTATCCCCCTAGCTTACAGAAAAGCATGTGTTGAGGTGCTTAAAGACTGGCTTTAGACAAGTGAATCCCACCTATAGTGATACACACTTCATTCTGTTGTAAATAAGTGCTTGTCCCTCAGAAATGGAGCCAAACTCATGGCTTAGTTCACATAGATCAGTGAAATTCTGTGAGATGATGGACCTAATGAATACAGTGCTGGTAACTGTGGTGGTACTGTCTGTGGCAATATCACAATCTGATGTATCCTATGTGGTACAATAAGTGAAAAAGTGGGATTTCTGAGACAGCTGAATGTGAGAAAACCTCATTGTTAATGAGGTTTATTTATTCCTTTCTTCTGATTGTCCTGATGAGCACACGTGCAGTCTGCTCCAGTGTTGTGCCAGCCAGGGTAAAAAGCCCAGCTATATGTCAGTTCCATGTCAGAACAAGACTTGGTTATGCACCATTCACCCGTACACTCCTGTTTTCTTTGGAAGGAGAGCAGATAAGTGGGGAGTAGGGGTAGTGTTTAGCAAAAGGCCACTTGGACTAGATGACTGGGGGACCAATACTGCAGGGCACACTGCTCAGTGTGTCTACCCTGTAATTCAAATAAGATTGTTTTATTAGGAACTATGGAAATTATGTCTTTTTCCAACTGCTGGAAATTTGGGAAGGATTTGAACCATCACTAAGAAAGCAAAATATGTCTGCATCTGTCCTGGTTTTGCTGGGATAGAATCATAGAATAATTTTCTATTCAGCAGAGCTGCATTTCTGAGAGGATTGCAGTGTCCAATTTAGTGAAAATAAGTTGGTAAAACACTTTGTTTTTGTTTTAGCTGGAATAGAGTTGTTTTTCTTCATAGTAGCTAGTGAGACTTTGTTTTGGATTCATACTAAGAATAATATGATAACTGATGTTTTGGTTGTTGCTAGTAATGCTTACATTAACTCAAGGATTCCCTGTTTTTCATTTTTGCCTGCACCTGGGCTCCCAGGTTTTAGTTTGGTTTGGTTTGGTTGGTTTTTTTTAACTTTTCCTCTGCACAAGAGGATGGGGCAGGAGAGGAGGAAAAGTCCAGGTTTTTCCAGAAGAGGTGATCTAAGATAGCCACCAGGAAATATTCTGTACCATCAATGAGGTGTTTAGCTGCTTGCCAGGTTAAACCATGACAGCATCCCATTAACAACCTTCCCAAAAAATCAACAAGAGCTTTTGTAAAACTTCCTTTATTTGGTTCATGATCTCTATTGAAAGATGTTACTGATTCACTCACCTGTTCTGATTGTACTGTACATTCTGTGTCAGATCGACATTCAGCATAATGAAATCATGCACATGGCAGCAGGAGAATGGTTCCTTGATCTCAGCACTGTTTGTTTTACTGGACCATTTCCTCATCCCAATTAAAGCATAGTGAGTGACATTGGGAGTTGCTTCAATATGCTGCAGAATTTGCTTCAAGGAAACATTCCTTTCAGTCCATGTATAGTCACTGCAATAATAATGAAAATGTGTTAATTTTAAAGTATATGGAAAGTATTCAGAATCTCATTCAGCTGAAGAATAATTCTGAACAGTTGAAAGCAGTTATGAGTATCAGGTAGATAACTTCAGTGTTGTCTTACTTTACTGCAACTTTTTGATTCTCACTCTAATCAAAACTTAAAATTAACTAGTTCTTATATGGTGGGACTGGTATGATAGATCTGAAACAGTCTGGATCTTTCAAAATATTTTCTCAGTTATGTGAGCTTTTAAAGTTACCTGGCTAATATTCCAAATTACTGTGGGAGGGTTGCCGCCTTTGTGCCATAACTTAAGTGCAAAGTATAAGATGCTCCTAGCCCACCCCTAGAGTCCATAAATCTCAGTTTTCACTGAGTTCAACTCTCTTTGAAGGTTCACTGTAAATCCTGCATAGCATCATTCTGGGAATAGATACAGATATTTAGTACAAACAATATTCTAAAGTAATGAAAATGAAAATACTTGTCTGGGAATTTGGGGAGCTAATAAAGGAGCCATACAGACTGGGACTGACAAAAGAGCCAGAGGAAATAATTTGCACAGAAATGTCTTTTAGCTTCCTTAGAAAAATCCTGTTAAAAACGTACACATGAATGCCCATGCTTGTCCAGTGTATCAGGGATCATTTAGAGAGTCTGAAAACTGCAGTACAGTAACTCTACTTTGAACCAGAGTCAAGCTACACAGCAAAGGCTGCAGGGCACTTAAATCCTCAGGAGACGAGAATGAAAAACAGGCACTAAATTATGTGTTATGTGAAGGCAGATATCTAGGGAAAATACTTCTCTCATTAGGCAAATATTATTGTATAGGGTAAAAGCTGTAGTATATAAAACATAATTTCAAAACTGATATGCAGTGAAAGGCTAAAAGAGATCAGCTGGAAAAGCATATATTACTCTATATACCTTTTCCTGTCTCCTGAACAATCAACTTCTACTGCATTCCACATAACACAGGAGTCATCTGAAATGACAATGAAAGGCCAAATATCCTGGGGTTTTATCCCCAGCTCCTCCTGGCGATTTCGTTCAAGCTCCAAGTTATGATAAGACAACTCTTTTATCAGGAAGTGTGCAGCACCTGAAACCAAGGACATAAACCATTAGTTTAAAAGTAGGGACAGAAATTGTTTGCTTTTAACATGGAAGCCTTTTGAAGTGAATATTTCTGCAGACCAGGGTATGAATCACTCTGAAGAGTTTAACACCCTAACACTCCCTGGAGCCAACTTAATTTGTTATTTGCTGAGCAAGTGACTTATAGGACCCCACTGGGAAGCACATAAAATGAAGCCTGACTTCTGTGGTAAAGATTTGCTAGTGTCCTAAGGGTTTAGTGACTGTTTCTTTTAACCTGACAGATATTTGGCTCCACTAGCATCTCTTAGTGCAAACATCTGGAGATGTTGATTGACAAACTGAATAACACAGGAATTATTTCCCCTGATGATCTACTTGGAATGTTTGTCAATACTGCTGTCTACAAGTTGTTCCAGCAGTAAAAGAATATTTCACAGATATATTAGCAGAAGCTACCTAAGGGATGTACCCAATCAGTGCATCCCTGCCTATGCAAATAGTACATAATTTATTTCCACAAGGAAACAGTGTAGGTAACTCCATCTGAGTTAACAACCTCAACTCCCTTTAAAATCAATAGAGGAAAGTAAGTATTTCTAGGGTGCAATTAATCTAGCTTGTTTTAGGTGACCTGGATTAAGTGAATTGCATATTCAACTGTGTCACATTGTCTTCAAAGAGAATGCAGATCAGATATGCTAGCTACAAGGTGTGCCTTCACTTCACTGTTGAGTAACAACACCTCAAGGGCCCAAGTCATGTGTCTACATTTGTTAGAAATTTTTGTTATACTTACCTACTCCTGCACTGTTGAAAATGCTTGGAAGAACAAGCATGATGTGGTTAGGCCAATACTTCTTGTATATGGCCATTTCATATTCCTTGACAACTAAAACATGCAAATGACTGGCTCCATCCATTGCATGATATAAATTGAAAAGTCCATGTTCATGACGACCAGTGGTGGGAGTAAAAGTGGGGCTTTTGATGTAATCTTCACTCTGTGAATAAAAAAACTTTGAGTTTCTGTATTAACCTGGAGTATGTTTAAACAAAGAGAACCAGATCCTTCAGGAGAATAAATCAGATTCACTGACACTGGACAAACTGCTACATTTTACATCCACTTAATAGGAAAATAAGCAACTTTTATTAGCATTGGGAAAAAGAAAACTCTTTATCACTTAGCTTATTCGACTGATGAGAGTGTGGTGGGCTGGATAGAACTGCTAACCTCGACCTGACAAGTGCACAGGGCCCTCGAGGCTAGATCTGGAAAAGGATTTAGGTCCATATGACACAAGATAGTAAGAAACACCTTACTCCAAAACTGCAGTACAACCCTTCTGACTGGCTATTACCCAATCCTGAATGCACTGAAACTCAGCTTATTGGAGACTTGATAGTTTTGCTTCATGCCTCCCTTTCTGGGAGAAAATGCAAGTTTGGTATCAGAACATCTTCATTATCTCTTGACAGCATGACCAGAAGTGTAAAGAATCATAATTCAACAAATTTTAAAATTGGTGTTGTCTCTCTCACATATATGGCCATAAATATAATTATAAATATAATCTACCTTATCTGTGACTAGTGGTAGCCTCATGCTTTCCAGCTGTCTTCCTGGTTGGCTAAAGACAAAATGATGCTCCTTTGACTTTGGAATGATAAAATGCAGCTGGATCTCTTCTCCCAGCATAGAATAGGAAAAGGCAAATGCATGCAGAGTGGACTCATAAAGCTGAGGATGTGAAAAAATAGGAAAATTCCAGTGGTTAAAGTCAAACTACAAGGTCTCAGTGTAGTTAATACACATTTGTAACATTACCAAACAGTATTGCATTAGATTTTACCTTATGTTTCACTAGATGTTAAGTAATGTCCCCTAGGCTTGAGCATACACTTAAAAAACATATAAATTAAACTGTTCCCTCTTTTGAAACCGTTGTCTCAGCTTTGTCTTGCCAATGGTACCAATACTTACAGGCCACTCTTGGCTTTCAGAAATATTGACACATAAAAACCAGTATTTGCATCTAAATACCTTCTTCCTCACATTCTAATAAGCAGGAAATTGGAAGGTTACTCCGAGTAATAACAGTTTATAGGCCACATATAGGCTACTCTGTGCTGGACTACTCTTGAATCAGAAGTAGCATCTTTTGCAGTTGCATCTTTTTCACTCAAGTGAAAATGTAAGCAAGTTCCAGAGGGAAAAGTTTACTGGGAAAGTAGTTTTAAGTGGTAGCATACATGTGAATAAAGGTTACAGTACTGAATAGGCTAGTGTAAATGAAGCAAGGATCAGTCCTCTGACATTCCCAAACCTGCAGTCTGTTCAAGGCAGGAAAACCTCAAGAAATAACAAAATATGTAAATCAGCTATTTTTAACACATACATACAACTTCTAAGACAATTCAAATACAGTGGACGTACACAAAACTGGTTGCCTCAGTTTCTGATCTGCAGAGTAGTAGCTGGAAATCTTTACCTGGTACCTGGGATTGAAACCCATATACTGATGACACTGTTCACAGTGATGGTAGGTGTTATAAGCTGCATACTTGGACAATCGCATCCTAGTTGTTTGACGGCGTGTGTACATATCCTCCTGTCTCCTGCTCATTGATCTGTCTATTAAAAAAAGGAAACAACTTAAAAGTAGATAAGTAACTTTACCCACATAAGTCACTTCATTGCTAGAGAGTAGGACAATGTGACAATATAAAAACATTCAAGTATGCAAACTTATTGTGGAATCAGAGCCTTTTTAATGAAAGGCTACCTATATAATATTCAATAAAACTTTTGTAAGGCTCATACTCTGTTGCTTCATCTGGCAAACTTCAAATCCTTTTTCATTAGTACTCAGTCAAGTACATTTCCGATAATTTCACATGGTTTAAAATTTTAACAGGATTCTCATATTTAAAACAAATAAATACATATATCTATACCAATCTAGATTTTTCAAATTCTAACCTTCATTGTTTGTAGTCTGAAGCTTTGAACAAACCAGACTTGCATCTTCGTATTTCGGGTCATGGATAGTGTAGTCAAAAGACATCTTCTTAAATGTCTCCAAATCTGGCCACGTATCTCCAGGCTGATGGTAGTATTGATCAGATTCTTCTTTTATGTCTATGATATTTGAGAAGAAACTTCTTCTCAGTGAGGGTGACAAAGCACTGGACCAGGCTGCCCAGAGAGGTTGTGGAGTCTCCTTCTCTGGAGACATTCCAAACCCGCCTGGACGCCTTCCTGTGTAACCTCATCTAGGTGTTCCTGCTCTGGCAGGGGGATTGGACTAGATGATCTTTTGAGGTCCCTTCCATTCCCTAATGTTCTGTGTGATTCTGTGTGTGATATTATTGAAAAATATGAATTCATGTAATTGCAATTTTTAAAGTTTGTTATATTGCTATAGATGGTTTTGCTATGCCTATTATTCCTGCATCATTTTTTCTTTCACCTTTCTGAGGAAGCAACATTATTATGCATCAGGAGGTGCACCTTTGAACAAATGTACCTCATACCTCAATGCAATCCTGACTTTTAAACCTTTGTTATCAATTCAAGACCTCTGTAATCTTACTGGAGCAGTTGGTGGGATGATGTTGAAAGCAATGTCAAGGATCTGATACAGCTGATCTACCTGCATGTAGGCATTTGGAGTCTTTCCACTGTCCACCACATTTGTGAACTCAGTTGAGGAAAGAGATATTATTCTTACAGCGGGAAAAGAAGCCCTTTTAAAGCTTCAGATATTGCAGTATTAAGTACACTGCAGAGTTAAAGTCTAGTGATACAACCCGAGTAATCAAAGATATTACACACCAGGGTATGAGAAAAATAGTAAATGGTATTGGTACAATGTACAGTGTACTCATGCCTTTTTCTGAATCAGGTTAACTGGCATAAAAACCCAGATATGTACAAATATACTAAATACTTTTCTGTCTTTGTCAAGAGGATGGAAGATCTGACAAGAGTGAAATGGACAGTAGTCAGGAGTTCAGTTTAGGGGTCACCTGTAAGCTGCTATAAAGAGCTGTACCTCCATGTCTATGAATATAGACTAAATGATTATTTAAAACTGGTGAGACCCTGTCTTTTGGCACACAAAGTAAATATGAAACTCAGGTGAAATTAGTCGGATGGGGAAATTATCTTCATGCCCTGACTCTGAGTTACCTCTAAAATCCTGCCGAAAATACAAAGGATTGCTTGCACAAACCTCTTCCCTTTGACTGGTCACCTTTCCACAGGTTTTGCCATAAACCTTGGGGGATAGCTGCCTCTTTCTCAAGCACAGCTCAGTGTGGAGGCAGCCTCCTAGGTACTGCCCCAAAAAGTCCTCAGAGACAAGAGCTGAGGCACAGTCCCTCAGTGAAATGACTGAGCAGCTTCTAGCCAGGGTCTGCCAGAGGCAGCTAGCAAGCAGGTAGTACCCATCTGAGGCTCTCCGTGGCTGACTGTGGACATGCTTTTAGTGCAGAACTAGACATACCCCATAAAATATCACCCATATTTTTGATGTAATCTAGCCCTTAATTACTGAAGCTGAATGTCGGAAAAAAATCTGGAAACACAAGGGAATAATACAATGTAAATAAAGGAAGGTTGGACTAAAATTAGCTAATAGAGAGCAGGAACTGTTTTCCTTTCTCATGTAGTCTTATGTACTTAGAAAATATGACATTGCCCTCATGGAATAAATCTGCCAGAATTTCACTTACTCTTTTTATGTACTTTACCACAAAAGCTCATTCCAATTCTAAACTCAAAAACAATGGCTGGATATCATGTAATATACATAAATGTGATTGATTACTTCCCAAGAAAAACAGAGGCATGTTGTTTTCTTACTGAGAGGAAGACTAAACTCTAAATGATGAGCTATAATAATAAAAAAATATTCTGAAGTATTAGTTAAAGATCACACAAAAAATTTCTTAAAATATTTCAATAACGTAAATTACTTGCAAAATTAAATGGTATAGAATATACAGACAACTATTCTTCAATTTAACATAACAATTTTCTACAGTCTCTAAAAAAAAGTAATTTATATCAAGAACTTACTATTGTTGATTTCCTCCTCATCATAAACATCCACTTCTGTCAGTCTAATCAGCATTCGAGACAAAATACTGAGGAACTGCAGATAGGCACCTGTTTTCCCTATCTGTAAATATATGAAGTAGAAAACACAAAAGTAATGTTACTGTTCCAAAAACTTGTTACTTTTCCACATATCTGGAAACTGCAGCTGCAGTGAAACTGAATATTAATATTCAGCACTTGCATATCTCTGTACGTTCCTTGGCATAAATGAAATGGTTAAATGTTCAACAGTTTTGTTCTCTCTATGGAGGAACCTAGTTTGGAAAATGCACTTTATATCACAGGCTTAATTACAGGTCAACAGACAAGAATTTTCTTTCCTGATGTTCTAATTTCTACATAGGCAATGAACTTTCAAAAATCCATTCAAGCTCATAAAACGTTCCAAAAAACCTCCTCAAACTACAAGATAACTAAAGAATTACCTCAGCTCTTTGATATTTGCATCATTTACCAGCACACTGATAGCTATTGAAGTACAGTGACTACCCTGAAGAACAAAGTGGCAGGCATCTTCAGAAGAACTCCACTCCCGGAGGACATGGTATATGTGACAATGTGTTGTTGCACTCTCATGTTGAAAATACATAATTTCCCTTCCACCGCTTTAAGATTACCTTTTAAAAGTCCACTTTAAAATCTTAAGATTATAACTTTTTCCTTTCTTTCTTACCCTACTAACACAGTATATACATTTTCTCTACATTATGCCAAATAGTATTGGTCCCCTTTTATCAGCTGTTAGCAGCAGCTTTTTCAGCTGAAAGGTATAAGCCACAGCCAATTATTTACTCAATGGATTGTTCTGTGATTTCCAGATAAAGTTTGCTGATGATAACATCAAGTAAATAATGTCGTAGCTAAGCAGACAGCTTTACACTTGGACAGGAAGCAGCACACAATGGATTTCAATGAGAAAAAAGAGACCAGCGAGCTCGTGTCACTCTCACAGGAGAATGAACTCACCATGATTTCCTGTGTGTATGTGCAGTTCAGCCTCAGAACTGCACTGATGTCCAGCTGACAACTTAAGACTAATGTCACACCCATACAGGGGAGGTTAAAATGTAGATCCGTAATGTGGCGTTCTGCTGCAACTGTCTGATTAAGTGGTACCAGATTTTGGACTAAGTCCATATTACTACTGAACTGAAAACCCAGCCTCACTGCCATTACTGCCAGGACATGTCAGAAGCATAGAGTGTTGAATTACTGAATATAGTATTGGATTTACTGTTTTCCATATATGTCAAGTGAAATTTTCATTTTCTCTCAACATTTGAAAAAGGGAGGCTTTGAAGCTGAAGCAAGAGTAGGTAAGCATTTTGTTTTGGTCAATGTTCAGTATCTGTTGTTCTTAGTAAATCAGACTGCATTTTAAAAAGTTGCTTGCCAAGGGTGGAAAAAGGTACCGTTATCCCTTTCAGATACATGTGTTAGCATGTGTTAGCATGTGGACCATGTTAACATATGGACCATGTGTTAGCACACAACAATTCTGTTATCCAGGAGTAACACAGAAAAAAGTGTCTTTGAATAGAGGAAATGATAGCATGGGACATAGCCAGCCCATGGACCAGATGTTTCTAGCTCCTAGTCTGGGTTCTTATATAAAATCCATTGGGATTAATAAGAAACTTTCTACTGACCCTAGAACAAGGTTCTGAACTCGGCTGCAATGGCTATTGATTGGTGAGCTAAACAAAAACACTTTATCTTCCCATGTCTGAGCAAACCTGATGTTAATTTGTTCCAGAAGAAAATATTTTCATTGTTTTCTTTCAAGTCTGAGCCTTATGAACATAATCCCTTAAAAAGCCTCTGATCATCATTTGGTTAAACACAGGGCGGTCTGAGAGATTAACAGTTCCCTGATTTCAAACAAATGAGAGATCATTTGTCAAAAATACAGAACCTGTTCCCTCATATCAGGTCTCTATGTGAAAAACTAATTCCTAATCTGTTTGAAGTATGTACTTATAATTGTCAACAGAACAGGCTGAAAACCTTACTTTTTCTTTTTGGTCACCATTTAAAACTTACTCTGTCAAAATCACATATTTTTCTTTCCCTGGGGGACCGGTTTTCAACAATGTATTTCAACAACGTATCTGGGAGTGACTCAGCTACTACTGTGTGGTACTTAGATGAAAGGTATCAGCTGTCAATTGACCCAAGTATATGCAAAGCTGTAGGGTCTTGAGTCAAAAATGTTGGAAACCACAGGACTATCAGTTCTAGTCCCTAACCACTAAACTAAAACATGCATACTTATGATATTCCATGCATCATATTTTACCCAATCTCATTATCTGTCGCATAAAAAGTGTCCAATACAGTACTGTGAGCTTTATAAACTGTTAGACTTTAGCAACACTGTATGTAAAATGCTGGTGGAAACTTGCAGAAATCTCTCCGTGTTTTTGGAATGTTTCTCTGCCAGGAGAGAGATCAAGCTGAGCACACAGCAACATTCGTATTTGGACTCCATTCACTTGCACATTTGCCCGCATTTGCTGCTGAAGAAATGAATTGGTGTAATAGGGAACATCTTTTCCAGGTCATTTTGAGAACAAGATTTTCAAAAAGAAAATGAGACAAGAATGACTTTTCATTTACAATCAATGTTTACTCCAGAAGGGAAGAACCTTGAACAACTGAATTTGTAGCATGCCTAGATAGGTAAATGCATCTTTAAAATTAATTTTATTGCTTTCTAGGTGTACCATCTCTAAGCAAAATGGAACTGCACAGAAAGTCTTTGTTTGAAAATACTGAATAGCTGTCAATAAACAGAGCTTCCACATCTCTCCAGAATCCTTGTCCCATATGTCACCACCCCTCCTTTTGACAGTTTAGGCATCATAGGTAGCTGCAATGTGATCCTGCAAGCAGGATATGTACAACTTTGAAGCATGAAGACCCATATTTGCCCATCCTCCATCTCCCAAATGCAACAAAACAGAAGATCTGCTAAGAAATCTGTATCTGCTGGATACATGATTGGGTTGTAGCTTTACACATCTTTAGAGAAGCCTAGTGTGGTGCTGATAGAATCACAGAATGGCTTGAGTTGGGATGGACCTTAAAGATCACCCAGTCCAACCCCACTGCTATGGGCAGGGACACCTCCCACTAAGCCAGGCTGCTCAAAGCCCTGTCCAACCTGGCCTTGAACACTTCCAGGTGATCCTAATTTGTGACTCTGGGCTTAAGCATGATACAATATATTAATAATGATGACAACTGGTAAGGAAGTACTCTGCACGAGATGGTTTTCTCCACATCCTGTCTTTGCTCTGCACACAAAAGCTGCAAGCAGATTAAAACTATGAAGGAACCTGGATCTGGGCTGCATTTTTATAGTTCTGAAACAAAATGTACATAAGGGATGCTGCTAGTATAGACAGATCCACTCCTCAGAAAGAGGTTCCTCAAATAGGTGGCAGTACCCAGTGCCTTTAACAGTAAGGCACCTGGGGGGCAATATTCCCAAATAATGGAAGTATTACTCTAATTTATTTCTGTCAACCTGATTTTGGAAGACAGAAGTCTGATGAATCAGACTTGGAAGAAGAAAATCCCGGAAGACTAAGAAGTAAAAAAGTCAAATCTTGTGAAAACTCATGATAACTAAGGAATTCAGGGCCTGTAAAGGTTTACGTTTCTATTTTCAACCTTAGTGCAAGGATTTGTCCCATAAAAAACTAAGAATATGTTTACTCTGCAGCTCTTCATTCATAGAGAGTGCACCTGTAGCTGAGCAAGAGGAAGAAATACGAATTAAAATTCTTGCTGCAGAAAATTCAAGAGGCACGAAGGCCTAGTTTTTATGTCTAGGAGGAGTGGAAAACTCCCCAGTGATTTTGACTACTGAACTGTGCTTGCCACAGATATCAAGGATAAGATGAAAACAAATTGTCTGTCTAAGAATCTGAGATATTCCAACAAGAGAAATTACATGTGCCTCCATGATTATTTGTGGAAGTGACATCTGAAAATGCAGTTGCAGCAGATCTAACAGTAATGAGTTCCCTTTTTTTAACTTGTTCTGAACACTGGACACTGGGCCACTAGAAGTACTTTATTATTCTTACACATTGCTTTAAAGTATGATCTGATTTCAGTCTTGACATTCAGAGAAATATGGCAGAAGGAGGAATAATTTCATAAGGCTTTTCTATTTTAATTTCAAAGTGAGAGAGTTCTTTACATACCACAGCAGTGGTTTTCAGACTGTGGTCTGTGAACCAATGGTGATTAACAGAAAACATGCTGATGGTCCACAGACAGCTGGTCAAATGGGCTGGCTCTTCTCCTTCTTTCCATTTGCTACATTCTTCTAAAACACAGCTAACAATGCCCATTAAATAGTCCTCTAATATTTTTCTTACATAAGATGAATGATATAAAAGCCCATTGTAATACAATTTTAATAGGAGTAGAGGAAAACCAAATAATATGGGCAGCAGTTTTCTTCTTTAGAAAGTGTCTTAAGATGTGCTTGCGTAATTCCCTGGCTGTGGTGCCACAGACCTGAGCCTTGCTCATGAGCAGCTTCCATGCTAAAGGAAAATGGTAGTTCTAAATCGTAATAGGCAGTTAAAAAACAAAGGTACAAAACTGTGATTTGAAGTTTGGGAAACTTTAAGATGAAAGTTTCTAAGAAAAAATATTTTAGTGAATTTAGACTTACTTATAAGCATTTTCTTGGGTGCACTAGGGACAAGATTTCTAGCCATAGATGCAGTGCACGTTGTTTATGGTGGTGCATAGTTACTCATACTCACTAACCAATGGCTTAACTTTGATGACGTGTACTAACTTACAGATAAATAAACAGATCTATTCTATACCTATCCAGTTTTTGCTGCATTTCCTAATGCCTCTTGTAAAAATAGTGCATGTATTATCTTCTCACATGCATAATTGTCCTTGTAAAAATGCACCAAGTCTTCTAGCAAAACAACTTGACCGGTAGAGAAGATAAAATGTCTGTGAGAGAAGGGTGAGTGTACTTTATTACTAATTAACCTGACAGTGAGAATTATAATTTTGGTTCACTAATGTGCCTAGTTTTCTTCCTGTGTTGATTTCATATTTTTTATTTTAACCAACAAATTGCTTCCTAATTTGAATGTTAGTAAAGTAATTGCTGCCTGATTAAGAAAACAACTAATTAATTTTTGAAAAAATAGTACTCTGGAAGTCACGCTTTGGCTGAGATGCTATTAACACTCAGATAGGTACTGCTTAATAATTGGTTTTAATTCTGCCTACACCTCTTCATGCATTAAACATTAAGTCCATGTAAAATGTTAATATCATCAAACACACATGTGAGCAAAACCTATTTCAGGAAGTGAAATTATTTCTTCCCAAAAAGAAAAGGGTAATTATAATTTTTGTATATTTTATGGTAACTGTTCCCTAGAAGAAACCCTGTATTGTTATACCTTAAACAAATAAAGAATCAACATACTTTTACAGCTCCTTGTTTGGTTTACAGGAGGGTTTAGTACTTTGGGAGGTGAAAACAGTAAAGGAAGCCAGGCTGATGTCTTTTTCCACATACTGAAATGAATATATACTCTTAAATTTTGATACTTAGGAATAAGAGATGATACTCCTAATTTGATGCATGTGAATTTGTTCTGTGTGAAACAGGTATATACTTCAGAAAGAACTGAGGAATATAAAATGAATAAACATGCGAAGGGTGTCCTTCAGGAACTGATCCAACTGTATGACCAAGGCAAGACCAGGAAATAACCTTCAGTGGGGAGACAGCTGGAGAAGAGATGGAGTTTCAAGCAAAAGAAGTGATATCAAGGTTGAAATTCACTGCTGTACAGAGTTTATAAAAAAAAAAGGGGGGTTGGAAATGAAAAGTGGTGAATACCATACCCTGGAACAGAGCTGATGAACAAATAAGCTGCCTGTTTAATTTTAATTAGCTAAATGGCAAGTACCAAGTGTGTGAAGCATCAAAACTTTCTCACAGATGTGTAATATGCTCTCAGAAGCCTATGAATGACTCTTCTGAGACTCACAGATTTACATTTGTGACCCATAACCAAATGAATACCAAAGAAATATTTACTTATTGGCTAATCTGGATATTTAAGAGGGCTTTAGGAATAGTATCTTTGTGGGGTTTGATGTGTGTGCATATAAAATTCTAACCACAATTGTCACAGCCTGTGTTTTAATTTGAGATAGAAATGAACATCTCTCCTCCAGAATGTATTCATTTTTATACAGCAGCTGAGCATGAAATTCAGTTTCTTGATCACATACCTCAATCTTTGGCAAACATGGACAATTTAGACCAAAGGAACAGACAGGGAAAAACTGCTCATCAGAGAACTTTCTGGAATCCCTTATGAATTACAGTGCCATTTAAAGGAAGTCCCAATATGAGAAGCCCATTTATGCTTTTTCTACTCTACTGAATCATAAATTTGGGTGCACAACAGAATACAAACATTTAACAAATAGTTATATGTAGATTTCTTTTGCAATGGATGGGCAGATAAGAGTGGATCATGTAGCAAGTTCAATCAGTAACTACCTTTAGACCAATTCTTTGAGTTGATGTTACAATAAATGGAAACATGATCTTTGTCTGAGTTTGGATTTATCCTTTTTGACTTCTGAGGTTCACAGGACATATGTATGTTCTCAGTTGGCATTGTATCTCTTCCTACCTTATTGCTTTGTACTTCAGTAGAACATGAGAGACACAGTATTGCCTTTAGCATGTAACATGTGCATTGAACTAGGAGATACCTTGCTCAGAGATAAATGCTAAACGTTCTTGTAGAATTTAGAAGAGGAAGAAACTTCTTAGGACTATACTCATTTCCATATAACTTTTCAGAATAATTTAAAAACTCTTGGGTCAGCTACTTATCTTGTAAATATGGCTCTGCTAATGCTGAACTGGCCTTCTTGTATGTATTATTTACAACAGCTTCTATTTCTGTCTGCTGTGTGGAGGAAAGAGAGAAAATAATTTAATTACAAACTCCCAGGTGTCTTCAGATTGATCATAAGAAAGTGGTTTTGTGAAGATCTTTGATCTTTATTTAAAATGCAAATGCATATTCAACTTTAACAAACTGAAACTGTACATGAAATCTATCTCTTGAGCAAACGATCTTTTAAAAACATTTTAATGGAGACTGACAGAAAATGAACATTGCTGCAGCTTCATTGCCTTTGAACTCAGGCTATCAGTAAAGAAAGGAATCTTATTTTATTAGAAGGAATTAGGAAATGAAATATAAGCAACTTACTGTCCACAAAAAAAAAGTCTTTCAAGTATGAATAATAATAACTAATCTATTTTTTCTGAGATTATGATAATATTAAATAAAATAAATCTATGATAATACCTTGTTCTTATTACACACCTGTGGTGGCCCACTCAGCAGCAACCTCCTTGGGTGAAAGGTGTCCATCCTGCCCTCGTTTCTATTGTTGTAGTCCATATGGATTGGCTTGGGAACCGTCCACTGGCGGTAGTATAGGGACTGCTCTGTGCAAGTCATCATCTTACTCATAAGAGGACGAAAAGAACTTGCCCACATAACAGAATGATAAGGCAAGAGGGAAGATGATTTGGGAAGTCCACTGCTGTCAGTAGAAGTAATAATGTCATAAACCAGCTTAGGCAGGAAAACTATAGGAGGCTGTTTTGATGCTTTGGTCATGAAGCATTGAGAGGTCTGCAGGATGAAGGAGTTATGAGTAGGTGCAGAGGAGGAAGAAGGGGAGGAGAAAGGTGAGGAAGATGATGAGGTGATGGTAATCTGGGCACTTTTAATGTTTTGTTTCATATCCAGCTGTTCAGTTACCGGTGGCAAGTGTTTGCTGACTGTTGTTTGTGCCCCCTTATCTACTTTCTGCTTCTGCCTTTCATAGTTACTTGTAGTTTCTTCAGCGCTGTTGCTGAGGACTTGGTGGGGGGATTTTGCTGTATCCCCTGCTGCTATTAAAGGAGGAGATGACTCACTGCAGAATGCTGTAACTAAAAGAAAACTTGTATTTCAATACAGTGCAACTATCTTTGCTAGTCAATGCCATAGTTAAACAAAACAAAAAAATCTTTTCAAGTATGCATCAAACATTGCAATCCCAGTCTTGTTCTTGTTTTCACCTTTCTCATACAGGAAGTCAAAATGGGACTGGTTTGGAGTATTCATCTCAACACAGAAAGCGGCTTTTAAAGTATCAAAGTACACAGGAAAGATGTCAGTGATTGCCCAGTCCTCTATTTCCCTCATCCATTCCTTGCTTAAGGTGTTCATCAGATACTTTCCATCGCTCAAGCCAAATACAAAATTACTGAAACCATCATTTAAGAGTGTAAGAAAAGCATTCACAGGCTGTTACCCCATCAGACTACAGAAATGTCTACACTGACATCTAGAAAGAGTCCTCTGAGTCAGATCTGATCTGACACTCATGTGTCTGTGTCATTGCAGGACTTGATCTAATAAAACCTCGCTCTCAAGTCTCTGGTGCTACATAATGCATTAATGCATTCACACAGCTTTTGGTCAGCTTAGAGCACATACTGAACTCAGTAATGCTGGCCTTGAATATGTCACGTAGATATACCCCACAGTAAATTGCTGATTTTCTGAAAGTGGTATATTTCTACCTTATATATTCTCACTACTAAGATTTCTTGAAAGTTTAATGCCTCATTTTAAGTGGTTCTGTGCATATTTAGTACGTAATGAATTCCAAAGAGAAAATGCAAATACTTCAGAGTCTTCAGAGAACTGGTTGAGGAATCAGTCTCCACATGGTACTAGGAATATTTGTCTGAAGCTGAACATAGATAAAAGCAGCTTTCTTCTTGTGTTGAAAACAACAGTCTTTGAAAACAACCCCACTTTTTGAACTAATGAAAGTCCGTAGTTTCTCTTGATTTCAAGAAATATTAAGATATACTCTAGATGCATATTAATCTAAAGTAGCCAGGAAAGGACATTAGCAATAAATACAGAAATAACAACAACGGTATGAATAGTTTCAAGTAAAACCACTGTGACATCCCTTAAAATACCAGTATCCAAGAGCACAGTAGAAAAAGAAAGGAAAAAAGATTTCTTTAGCCACAGGCAAACTAAGGCCACAAAGCCACAGGCAGGCTACATGGACACTCTGGAACTGATGAGCAGCTCAATTTTAAAGAAGAAAAAAACATTTTGAAAATTAAAATGTTGATGAAGGTTAGCCAAACATTTTCAAGCTTTTTTTCCTTTTGTAACCACCACTGTGCCTGCAGAAAAGAAATCATGGGCCAAATATGCATGTGACCATATTGAAAACTACAAATAGATCTAAAAGAATTTACTGTCACTGACAAAAAACATTTTAAAAAGCTGAATGAGACTGTGACTTCTAGGAAGTTATGGTACAATTTATATTCTCCACTTTTATTCAACTCCACTGTTAATATTATCTGCATAAAAAATATGCAAAGAAATTTATCAGAAAAAAGAGCTGTAGTAGTTCTCAACATTGCCTCATGCTTTCTGCATCAGTTTGCAGACTAAAATGGAATTGAAGATATACAAAATTGTCCACCTCTAAAAGAGCTTTCAGATAGTGCCAAATTAATGAGTGAACATTCCAGAGCAAAAACAAAAAGGTTAAAATTTTAATGAGAATGAGCATGCTTTTTCTCCTAAAGATTTTCAAGAGATTTTTTAAAAATGTGAAGCATGTTTTCTTTTTCATAAATTTTCATAGCTTCAGTGAACAATTCAGATATCACAGTACTAACCCAGTGGCACATACTAAAGAAGTGCCTGGGTCATGCACCCTACCCTGTAATAATTTTTCAAGCAAGAAAAGATCTTATTTTTTATATTTCAGAAGTCTGATCCTTATTTTTTGTTTTAAGTAATCTTTAGAGATCCCATTAAAATAGGCCTTACCAAAACCTTACTGATTTACGCCTTTTATTATCTATCTAATAAACTGAATAAAAGGTCTCTTTTATGTCCTACATGTAACTTAATAGAGATGATCTTAATGGTTTACCAGAAGCTTTTGAAGAGAGAGATGAAGATGCAGAGTCATGGGAACGAGATCTTTCTCTTTTCATAGGACTTCTCTTTTCTGAAGTAGAACCTATTTCATTAATGGTAGCAAGGGAAAAACAAAACCAAAATATATTTTAAGCTTGTAAGAAGGCACAGCTACATTGTCAAAGTAGGGAAAAGTACACAAAAGTTTGTGTGGGTTTTGTCCTCATTCTGACACTGTTTTCCGTATGGAGAGTATTTGTTCCTCACATGCAATACTGGACCACCCTATGGTCTAACCTAACTGCTGAGCTGGAATAGCTTCACAAAATCAATGCTGCAGCCATTCACATCTAAATGAAGCCTCTATTGTAAACAGTCTGAGTATGACCTCAGGTATTTCATTCCTCTATGAAAAGTACATATTTGATTAAAGTTAATATTTTTGTTATGCTTGCTCTGCTTTCCTTATTATCAATAAGTAAGAACTTCATAGGTGAACAGTAACCAGCTCTCTTCCCACTCAAAGTATAGAAAAGTAAATGAAGGCAACCAGTTTGAGACTTAAATAAACTACGGGGATAAAAATCCCTCATTTTCCAGAGTTACAAGGCACAATAGACAGTAAAAAAAAATATTAAGAACTTAACAATAACTGATAGCAACCATCAACTACCACTCAACACCCCCCCAAAAGCTCCTGGGTAAATTATTGTTGTTTATTTACACATGTTCTTAGTTGCTTTCTTAAGAAATTATAAACTCACCAACTCTATACTGTCAATTTGAACTCATGGACTTTTTCAAGGAGTACATAACTTACTGGGTTCAGGTATATTTTCCAGCCATACTATTTAATACCTTGCAAACTATAGAGGCTACTCAGCTGTACTATGTAGTGTCCTTGGGAGGAATCTTCATCACTGTCAGCGTGTAAGCATAGGTTTAGTAGCATCAGCCAAGGACAGTTGAGGTTGAGTTGTCCCTGCTGTGAGGGAGGGGACTGGGTCACTGCTTCCCGGATGGCAAAGCAAACACTTCCCTGCTACGGGGAGGTCAACACAGCACAGTACTTCAAACAGTGAGCGACACTGGATGTGCCCACTCAAGCTCCACTTTGCAGCTGCCAGAACATATAGGGCAAAGGAGGGAGGCAGCGAGGGGAGAGAAGGGAGCTAAAAAACAGAGAGAACAGATGCAGCAGCAGGACTGCACGACATTAAAGTGCTGCTGCAGCAGCAGCAGTCCCTGGGCAGGAAGGGTGAGAAAACACAGGTTCAATGAGATAAAGCAAAACTGAGGAGCAGAGCTCGCTCAGTAAGGCTAACTCCATAAACCCTCACTGAGTAGGTATCCATACAATCCCGCTTTTTCTAATACAACTCAATCATTTTACTGCTTCTTTTATTATCACTACTAATAATACCTTCTGTTGCTATTTCTTCATCTTCATTATCAGTGCTGCTTAGTTTCTCTGGATCACTTTCTAACACATCATTCACAACTGTTTTCTCTGTGTGAATTTCTGAGCTCACAAAGTATGCTGCCAAACCAAGTTCTTGCTCCAAGGTTGTCCTTACCAAAGAAGATGAATTTATTAAACGTAGGTCACAGTATCTCAGAGATCTGGAGAGAAACAAGAGGGGCTAGTATGAAAATTCACTGTAAACTACTCCCTTATTTCTTTTACAAACATAGCCAAAGGGAATTTTTTTCATGATGAGCTAGAACACAGTGTATCTTTTGTGGTTAATAATTTTACTTCTGTGGTGCATACACTCTTCTTTTTCTTAATCCAGTTATTCAGCTTAATCTAGTGCAGTGAACATTAGCATCTGCATAAGAAAAAGAATAATTACTTGGGGTCTAAACTTAACACACAGAATGGGATTCAGCTGACCATACTAAAGCATTTAGCACCCCAGGGCATCCTGGCTAGCTTCCAGCTGCCATTCCAGAAGGCACTGATCTCTCTACACTTCCTGTAGCACATACACCAGCATCATGCAGGTGTCTCAGCTACCCTAAGGTATCTAAAGTAGCCATACTATTTTTTTACACACCCTTATTCTCTCCTCTAAACTATCCCTAACCTGGGACAACTCTCATAATATTTTCTGAGCTACTTATATCTTGCTATAAATACGAGGTTATTATTAATAATATGGAGTTTGCATTTATGATATAAAACCTGCCAAAAAATGGAAAATAAATGTCTTGACACTTTAATCTGACTTCTCCCTCAAGGAATTACACAGTTATTTTCTAGCTATTTAGTAAGCAATGTATAAAAAACTGTCACTCAAAAAGTACTGGATCTTCTTACCGTGGCAAAGACTCCCCTTGTGGATCCATACCACTAAATATCAATATACAAGGCAAACCTTCCAATTCCAAATAGGTCTGTGGCCTCCAATCTACATCCTCAATTTTCTGCCAGACCTGTAAAAGGTAAGAAACACTGTTGGATATATCTATATGGCACAAATAAAAATACAGAAATATAAACTTTCATCATCCATTATATTAATCAATTTGTACAGTGGATGGATGTTTCACCAAGGGAAGCCACAGAGCAGAGCCAATTTCAACACAGATAGATTGCACAACATCTAGAGCATTACAGGTAGCAATCTGCCTGCTCTAAGTCTGAGGAGATTTGGACAGCATGTTCCAGTCTGAAGAGCCTCCCAGCTTCCCAGCTGCATAGCACTGAGGCCAGGGCATAGATGGGTAGGATGGACACAGAACAATGGACAGTAAAGGTGAGTAGGAGCTTTGGGGGAGAGAAACATACAGGGGGTTACTTCTTGTGGAAGAGAACGTATGGATGTCTGAGTCCAATGAAGAAAATGAGCTAGGAATGAGACTTTTTCACCTTAGAGGAACAGGGGAAAGCTGGCATTGTTCAAAACACACACACCACTCTCCTCACTTGCTACCTTCTGAAGTCTCCTGCTCTTCCCCAAAGCTATAAGTTTTCCTGATAACTTCGTTAGATATTTTATAACTAGATCTATTGTTTGACCATTCAGCATCAGGGTATACTGCTGTACTTACAATGGCCAGTCCTTTTTTGCTCTAAGACGGATCTACAGATAAGGAGCACACAGAAGGAGCAACAGTAGAGCAACTCAGCCTCCGACATTTGTACATGAACCATTATTATGCATGTCAGAGAAGATAACCAGGATGTGATTCAGTACTAATACTGATAATTCAGAGTAAGATATGCCTAATTTATAACAGAATGAGATCAGCATTAGGCCCTGGATCTCAAATTACTTCATCTAACAAGTACTGAATCAGACATAGTACAGAGTGTACTATATATACATTACACCACCTTAGAATGTAAATACATTTTTGCTTTGGTGATCAGATGATGGCAACTTTATGAAAAGCAAGGCAGTATCAGACACTTTTGTTGAACAGATGACCCATGACTCTGGACCTAAAGGATACAAATTAATCTATAAAACAACACATGGTCCAGAAAGTTCTGAGCTGTCAATATCGGGGTGCTCTAGGACCCACAACTACCATCACTGATTTGGTGCCTTCATGCCACCTGCTGGTGACAAGAATAATATAACTCTCAACTGGCCACTGATTAAAATCTTTTTGCACTATGACGATTTTGTGAGAAAATTCTGCTAAAACTCTAACTATTTTATTTAGCTTTTTTTCTTACTGCTTTGTGCATAAACGCAGTTCAACTGTTTGAGAGAGTTGTTGCTGGAAGTCAAGTTCTAGACATATCAGTTAATACACCACAGAGTATTAATCAGAGGTAGGATGGTAGAGGTGCCACAGATAGTATATCTAAAAGATAAAAGTTATGCTCTTTATGGTAGTTTTTATTTTTACTAGTAAGACCTGCACTGCAGCTCATGACCATAACTCTTACCAGGAAATCCTCCCCACCTACCCATCTAATGAAGCTTCCCAGTATATGTCATTCTGCAAGTTACCTTTAGTTGCTCCACAAAGTGCTTCCCTATTGTGATTCCAGAATTAGGATTTCCCAAGATTATTTCAAAGTTATCTTCAAGGGCTAGTCTCTCCCTTACATTATACAGACGTTCATATGCCACTGCAGCCAGCGGAGTACACGGAATTCTCAACACTACCATGAGGCCATGACCACTAGGACACTGTCGTGAAGAGTTTATTAGGTTTTGGGTGATTTCCAGAGTTTCAACTGAGGTGTAATTCTTCATCTGAGAAAGACCACACACTGCCATCATAGCTGCAGAGTAGTGTTGTATGAGGACAAAAGTCCTAATCACTGCACTGTGTAATCTGGGGAACCTGAAATAAATGGTGAAGTAAATAGTGAACTATTAAAGGCTAAAGTGAAAAAGCTAATTTCCACAAAATATAGAAAACTGAGGATTTTCTCCTGTAAACAGTCCTTCATATCTACTGTACAACAGAATCTCACCAAATTGCCGTTGGATAAGCAAGGCATCATTTCACAATCAGAACTGATGTTGTCTCTCCATTTCTTAGTAAAGATTTACTAAGCAAACAGTCCAGTAAGGTTACATCACATCAAGTTACCAAGACTTTCCTGCTGTTACAAAATTTATCACAGAATAGTTTCTAAGGCACTCACTAATATAACCAAGGAAAATTATATTATCTTATGAATGACAACAGTATTCTTAATTATGTGTTATTCTTAAGGGTTGGGGGGTAGCGTGGTGTTTCTCCTGTTTTCTTACTGAAGCCCTGAACCAACTTACTCTTGTTTCTAAGAGGACTTAATACACAGGCAGCATCCAATGAGCACTCCATGTTCCCAAGCTCAGGTACACCCTGTCTCAAACGGCAGTCTGTGAAAGGGAGAGATGTGCATATGCAATAGCTGCCTGTGCTCTGGTGTTCACAGAAATGAAATCCAGGTGCATGATAAAAAGAGGAACTATGGCTTGCTCAGAAAAGTGCCTGATACGTGTGATCAGAGCTCCAAAGCACTCCGTAGCAAGCCACAGCAAAGGGTGGATGTGCTCACTCTCCCAGTTACCAACACAAATTCACAAGGTTTTACTTGTCCTGTCTCATTCTTCTTACAGATCCCTAGTTCATTCACAGCTGCGTATTGCACATAATGTGTCACTACTCTTTTGCAGGGATTCTAGACTTGCTCCACGGGGAAAAAGGAAAACTGATTATATGTTTTAAAACTCTGATGATGCTCTGAAGTTGTTATCAGTGATTTAAGTGTACAAACCACAGTGGTATGTCGTCTTCTCTTTGTTGTCCAAGTGCAGTATACACAAACTCTATACATCAAAATCAGCCAGGGTCAGTAAGTGATAACATTGGACAAAAGTAACAACACATTTGAAATTACATTATGATGCAATGTTAGATTATTATACTATAGAAGTAGCTACTGGTCACAAGAAGAACACACTCTAAATTGGGGTAAACAGTGTGCATGTTCATAGTAAGAGGAAGCTTAGATTACAAACCAATTATATACAAAAAAGATGGAAAGAGAAAATAAGAAAATGTGAAATGCCCTTGCATACACAGCTGATTTGTGGGACAGCAAGAGAAAAAAAAAAAAAAGAGTCAGGCATCCAGCTAGTAACTCAAGTGACTAGAATACATCTCCTAAATTTTCTGTGTTAAGCAAAGGAGGGTACCATACCTCTTTCCCAAAGCCATGACCATTGCTTCAAAAGAGCTGTCGTACCGAAGCAGTGGAATACTATGTCCAGAGAGGGTGGACTCAATGAATTCTGACAGTCCAAAGTATTTCTTATTGTCATGGTATAAATGTACACCCTATAGCAAATGAAGCAATAAAAGTACAAATGTCAAGCCTAACAACTATTAATTGATAATTAAATATTAACGTATATCAAAATACATAAATATT